ATCACAAAATATTTCCCCCCAAACGGGAAAAATCCCAAAACCCCCCCTGCTAGGGGGGTTCGGGGGAGGGGGGGGATTTAAAAATTTGGGAAACCCCCAAATTTAAAATGGGAATTTTACACAGTTACTTTTTCGGGGGATACTGTGGGTTAAAAGGGGAAATTTTAAAAAAAAATTGCAAAGGTTTTGTGGAAAGATTTTGGGAATGTGTTAAAGGAAAAAAGGTTGAAAGTGAACATAGAAAAGATAAGGTGATGAGGGGGCAAAATGATTTAGATAAAGAAAAATTGGGTATAAAAAATTTGGGGAGGAGTAAAGGGGAAAAATGAATTTTTCAAAATACTTGGGGGTTGCGGTTTGGGGGGATGGATTTTTGAAAAGGGTAGTTAATCCTAGGGAATTTAGGGGGGAAAAAAGGTGAGGGGGCATTGAGGAAATGTTTGGGGTTTCCAAAAAAATTATCTAGGAGGGAAAGAAGGGGAAAGTATGAAATTTTAAATATACCAAAACTCTTATATTTGGGGGTGAAACTTGGGTGGGAAATGCAGGGAGCGAGGGGACGGGGGAGGGCAGGGGGGATGCCCCCTTTTTAAAGGCCCAAAGTCTGGGGAAATATTATGCAGAAAATTTGGTGTGGAAATTAGGAAAAGGTGGGATTTTAAAAAAAGTATTAATCAAGGGCAGAAAAGGGGGTTTTTGAGGGGTTTTTGGGCCCTTTTGAGAGAATGGGTCAAAATAAAATGACAAAGGGAAAACAAAATAAATCTATAGGGGGAAGGGAAAGGGGGGGTGGGGGCGTCCTCGAAAGGGTTTTGGGAGAGGGGGAAAGGGTTTTTTTGGGCCCAAGGGGGTTGGGCTTCCACAAGCGGCGTGAGCGGTTAGATAATGAATGGGGACGAAAGGGACTTGGGGCCTGACATTTTTTGGAGGTGAGCAGGGAAATAAGTGAAGGGATTCAGGGAAACCCGGGATTTTCATATATCGGGCTGGGGTCCGGGGAAAAGGAAGACAATGCCCCGCACTTTTAAAAGGGGGGTTTGGGGGTATTGGGAGTTTTTGGGGGGATAGTTGTGTATCTTTAATTTAGCTTTTAACGGTTTTTATTTTTGGGGCATTTTTCCCGAAAAAAAATGATAATTGCGAGTGGGGTGAAAGTTTGAATGATGATGAAAAATTTTTTCTTTTTTGGGGGTTTTTTTTCTTTTTTGGGTCACCCCGGGCCCCGTGGGGGACCCGGGCCACCCTTGAAAAAAAAAAAAAAAAAAAAAAATAAAATATTTTAAAATTTCTTTTTTTTTTTTTTCAACAAGTCGGCCGTCTCCCACCGAGGCAGGGTGACCCCCCAAAAAAAAAAGAAAAAAAACCCCAAAAAAAAAATAAATTTTAACATCATTCAACACTTTTTTACCACACTCGCACAAATTTTCCCCTGTTTTTGCGAAATCTCCAATACAACACCCAAAGCATACACAAAATAAAGTTTCACAACAATTCCCCCCAAACTCCAAAAACCCAAACCCCTCCTTTAAAGTCGGCATTTTTAAAATCCCAAATTTCCCCGGACTCAAGTCCCCCTATAAAAATAACCGGGTTTTCCCCAATCCCTTCACTAAATATTACCCTCTCACACTCCAACAAATCGGCAGGTCCCAAGTACCATTCTCCCATTTCCCCCCTTTCTAACACACCACCCCCTTTTCTGGAAGTCCAAGCCCCTTACCCCCCAAAAAACCCCCTTTTCCCCCCCTCTCCAACCCTTTTTTGAGGGCGACCCCCACCCCCCTTCCTTTCCCCATAGATTTATATGGGGTTTCCCAAATCACTACTTTTATCCATTCTCCTAAATTACCAAACCACCTCAACAACCCCCCTTTTGCCCCCTGACCCAATACCCTTTTTTTAACTCCACACCTTCTCCTAATTTCCACACTCCGAACTTCGGGATAATATTTTTCACCCACATTGCCCTTAAACAGGACATCTCCACGGGCCCCCCAACCGTCCCTCGCTGCTGCATTTTTTCCACCCCCAACTTCACACCCCCAAAAGAAATTTGGGACAAATAAATTTTTATACCCTTCCCTTTTTTGCCCCCCTAGAAAGGTTTTTTACTCCACATATAACCCCAACCACCACTCACCTTTTTCCCTCCCTCAAATTTTATGAAATTTTCCTCACCCCCATAAACCATCCACCGACACTCAAATCCCAAGTACCTGAAAACATTCACTTTTTCCATACTCCTCCTCCCCCAAATTTTATATCCAATTTTTCTTTTTTCTTAAAACATTTTTACACCCCCATCACCTTTCCCCTTTTTTTATGTTCACTTTCAACTTTTTACCTTTACACACATTCCCAAAAATCACCACAACCTTTTCAATTTTTTTTTAGAATCTCCCCTAACACAGTATCATCACAAAAAGTAACTGTGGGCAATTTTCCCCTTTATTTATTCCCCAAATTTAATCCCACCCCCTCCCAAACAACCCCCGGGATTTTCTTCCCTTTTCAACCCCTTTTATAAATATAATTTAAAAAAAACCATGGGGGCCTTACACATCCCTGTCAAAACCTACTTTTACCGGAAGTAGTTTCCCCCCCTTTTACACCCCTAACCTGAGCCTCACTATCCTAATAAAAAATCTTTTACAGCATTAATAAAATTACCACCATTCCCCTATACTTGGGAAAAATCTGCCACAATTGCCCCCTTTTATTTCCCCCTAAAATTATGCCCTTTTTTAAATCCCCTAAAAGCAATAAAAATTCCCCAAAACTTTACAAAACTGTTCCCCAAAAAACTTCAATGAAAAAACCTGATTCTACACATCCCCAAACCCCTCAAAAAACCCCCTTGCTTTATTTCCCCAATTCCCACCTTCTGTCTTACCTCTAATTCTTTCAATTTAACCCCCCAACCGTAAAACTTTTTTCCGGAAAACTCATAAGCTTATTCCCCAAAAAATTTTACAGTCCTTTTTTCCCCCCTTTTCCCCTTTTTTTAAAAAGGGGCTATACATTTTAAAAATTTAAAAATTAAATGTATGTAATATAATAATATTTTTTTTTTTTTTTTTTTTTTTTCAAAAAGTCGGCCCTCCCCCCACCGAGGCAGGGGGACCCAAAAAAGAAAAAAAACCCCAAAAAGAAAATACTTTTATCTCATTCAACCTTTCACCCCCTCGCAAAATTATCAACTGTTTTTGGGGAGGGCTCAAAAATCAACATCTTAAAACATAAACAAAAAAAGGGTACACAAAATATCCCTAAAAATGCCAATTCCCCAAAAACCCCCCCCTTTTAAAATGGCCCGGGAAAGTACTTCCCATTTCCCCGGACTCAATCCGACTATAGGGAAAAAAAATAAATAAAAAAAAAAATATTTTTTTAAATATATATAAAATATAAAATTTTATAAAAATAAATATATATATATATATATATATATATATTATAATATATAAAATTTTTATATAATAAAATATATATAATATATTTTTTAACAAGTCGGACCCCCTCCCACATATATATATGTTTGGTATAAATTTATTATATTAAAAATATTTTTTTTTTTTCCCAAAAAGTTTGGGGGCCCTCTCCCACCGGCAGGGGGACCCAAAAAAAAAAAGAAAATCCCGAAAAAGAAAATGCTTTCATCATCATTCAAAACTTTTTAACCCCAAAAACAAAATAATCAAATGTTTTTGCAGAGGGGCTCAAATACAAAATTTTTGAACATAAACGAAAAAAATACACAACATGTCCCTCCAAACGGGCCCAAAATTTTCCCAAAAACCCCCCCTTTAAAATACAGGCATTGTACTTCCCATTTCCAGGGGCTCAAATCCGGGTTTCCCCCGAAACCCTTTAAAAAAAAATTTTCCCTTCTTTACAAATCCAACGCTCCCAAGTCCCAAAAAAACCCTTCCCCCATTCACCTTTCCCTTCAACACGCTCGCCATTTCTTTTTTCTGGAAGTCCAAGCCCCTCGCCCACAAAACTTCCCTTTAAATCCCTCCCTTCAAAAAAACCCCCTTTGGGGGGCGAGACTCCACCCCGCCCCTTTCCCCCCTACAGATTTAATCCCTTTTCCCAAATCATTCTACTTTTTTCCATTTTTCTCTAAAAAGACCAAACCACCCCAACAACCCCCTTTTTCAGCCCCCTTACTAAAAACTTTTTGTAAAATCCACACCTCCTTTCCCATTTTTCCCTCTACAAATCCCCGGGATAGTATCTGCCCACAAAATTACCCTTAGACACAACATCAACTGCCTTTAGCGCTCCTTGCTGCAGCATTTTTCAAACCCCCCTCTTACAAACCCCTGTAATGTGTTGGTACCACTATAATCTTTTATATTCCCCTTTTTTGCTCCCCTGGGTAACGTCTTTTTTTGCCTCCACAGAAAACTTCCCAAACAAACCCCCATCTTTTTCCCCTTTATCAATTCTATGGGAAATTTTCACCTTTATAAACCCAAACCGCTGACAATCAAAATCCTAAATATCTGAAAAAAATTCACTTTTTCCATACTCCCTTTCCCCCAAGGGGATAAAAAAAATTTTTTTTTTATCTAAATCATTTGGGTACCCCCATCACCTTACTCTTCCGTTCACTTTTAACTTCCTAGCTTTAAAAAGCCCCTCAAACGTACAACCTTTTCCCAAATTTTCTTTATAGAATAATAAATATTTTTAACATTTCTATGCTGATGTTTTTTCATTCAGTTATGCACAAGGAGGGATGAAATGAAATCAAATATTTTGCTAATACTGATACTCAGAATTAGGATTATACCAATATTATCAAATTTAGTCAATATCCACCGATACTGGCAATGACACCATCAAAAATGGACCGATACCCACCTATACCATCAAAATTTGTTGATACGCACCAATACTGATACATTAACACACATCTATACATAAGCACCACATTATGTACTTTACGACTAAACAATTCTATAAAGCATTTCTCTTTAGAAAAGGTTATTCCTATTATCTGAGGTTCACCTATTTCTCGAGAGAGTAAACTGTTGAGAGTAGGCTTTACAGGAGCAAGGAAATATGTCTGGATTACAAACCTTCCAACCAAGCATCTCTGCCAAACTTTTACATCCATCATCACAGTCACCAAGCATTGCCACATCACGTTTGTTGTTGGGCGAGTCTAGAGCAAGTCCAAACCCACAAAATGTTCCCTGGAGCATTGCCATCATTGGATCCAAGGGGCTAGTCTTCTCTCGGTTGATGAGCAGTCGTGGACACGATGGTGGAACACTGGTAAATTAAAAATGAAGCTGAGACCAGGCTGTAAGGGCAATGATACCTAAAAAACTAAAGATATAAAAGGAAATAATGCAAGAATAAAAAGTATTAAGAACCACATGAGAAAAGGTAGATAGCATATACTGAATGCAAATATAACTTTTCAAAGATTTACTTCCTATCTTCTATATTATGCATCACATGCATGTGGTAGGCAGTACAAAATTCCATTTACTATAAAAAAAAAAACTAGGTACTGCACTGTATCTACATTTCTGAATACTGTACTGGCAAAACACTAGAACAGATACAGGTTTATTTAAAAAATTTACTCTAAACACAGCACTGTATGCAGAATGCTTAATTTGAACGTTAGATGATGAAAAGTGGTGAACTACTTGCAGATAAAAATGAAAAAAAAAAAAAATAGTAACATATCTAATCCAAACAATACCATGTAATGTAGAGGCTCCATATAATCTAACACGACCACAGACTGCCTCAACTGTTGAAAAACAATGCTTGGAATATTACTTTTAAAAAGCAAAAATGGTGACTAACTTATCAATCAGTGATGCAAATGGCTGAACGGTGAGGGATGTCCCAAGAATGACAAGAAGATCACACTTTGGGAAGTCAGCCTGCATTAACTGGAAAAACCGTGATGGAAGGTTCTCCCGGAAAAAGACTATATCTGGCTTTACAAAACCACTGCATTCGGTACAAGTTGGAATGCTGTCCTTGAAGATTTCTTCTGCAAGAAAATGGGTAGGAAATGTTAAACTTTTATTTCTTGTACAGAAGCTCCAGAAATAATACATCTTTATTCATGTTCACACATGTTTAAACTGCAGCTTGACTTTTTTAAAGACGCTGGTCATCTCCAACTTAGGTAGGACGACCCAAAAAAGAAACTTTCACTTTAAGTGCAGATGAGTGTAATTTTTTCTTCTTCTTATTCTTTTTAGTAATTATTACAGGAAAAGGGGTTACTAGCCCATTGTTCCCGGCATTTTAGTTGACTTTTACAACACGCATGGCTTACGGAGGAAAGATTCTTATTCCACTTCCCCATGGATACAAAAGGAAAAGTAATAAGAACAAGAACTATTAAGATAAAATCAAAGAAAACTCAGATGAGAGTGTGTAAACGTGTAAATGTATGTGTAGTGTGACCTAAGTGTAAGTAGAAGTAGCAAGAAGTACCTGTAATCTTGCATATTTATGAGATAGACAAAAGACACCAGCAATCCTACCATCATGTAAAACAATTACAGGCTTTCGTTTTACACTCACATGGAAGGACGGTAGTACCTCCCTGGGTGGTTGCTGTCTACCAACCTACTACTTTATATGGGTGTGAAGCTTGGGTTGTAAATGCTGCAGCGTGGAGGTGGTTGGAGGCAGTGGAGATGTCCTGTCTAAGGGCAATGTGTGGTGTGAATATTATGTAGAAAATTTGGAGTGTGGAAATTAGGAGGTGTGGCATTAATAAAAGTATTAGTCAGAGGGCTGAAGAGGGGTTGTTGAGGTGGTTTGGCCATTTAGAGAGAATGGATCAAAGTAGAATAACATGGAGAGCGTATAAATCTGTAGGGGAAGGAAGGCGGGGTAGGGGTCGTCCTCGAAAAGGTTGGAGGAAGGGGGTAAAGGAGGTTTTGTGGGCGAGGGGCTTGGACTTCTAGCAAGCGTGCATGAGCGTGTTAGATAGGAGTGAATGGAGACGAATGGTATTTGGGACCTGACGAGCTGTTGGAGTGTGAGCAGGGTAATGTTTAGTGAAGGGATTCAGGGAAACCGGTTATTTTTATATAGCCGGACTTGAGTCCTGGAAATGGGAAGTACAATGCCTGCAGTCTAAAGAAGGGGTTTGGGTTATTGGCAGTTTGGAAGGATATATTGTGTATCTTTATATGTATATGCTTCTAGACTGTTGTATTCTGAGCACCTCTGCAAAAACAGTGATTATGTGTGAGTGAGGTGAAAGTGTTGAATGATGATAAAAGTATTTTCTTTTTGGGGATTTTCTTTCTTTTTTTGGGTCACCCTGCCTCAGTGGGAGACGGCAGACTTATTAAAAAAAAAAAAAAATGTAACTTGGGGGTTTGCAGGCTGAAGACCTCCTGTACCAACTACTACACTGTGCAAACATCAACTAACCCTTCATCCACTCTTGGCTATATTCTTTTCGGCACTGAATGCAGTGTGAGGTTCGGAAAGTACCATGAGCCTCGACTGTTTTCTCAGCAGGAAGTCCTGCTACATGCTCTAAGGTGTCAATGTTCTGGGAAAAAAAATATTTTAACATTTTTATTAGAGCAAATCCTCACATTATACTCATAAACAGTTCCTGAAATATTTCATATAACAAATGTTACAGTATCATGAAACAGAGAGAGCTACAAATTAAGGGTATATTCCAGGTGGACATTATTATAATAATGGAGTTACAAAGGAAAAGGGGAATAAATAAAAAACATTTTTGACATTCTTATTTACTATGTTTTACTACTAAAGGAAAAATCTGTTCACCCAAAATATGCAAGTCATCAACAATTTTTTTCCCAGGTTAACCTTTGAAAATTAACATTTTCTTATACATGGAAAATGCTTAATTTAGTTAAAATTTCTCTATATACCACCTAAAAAAAGTACAGGCAAACAAAGAAAAATAAAAAAAGTTTTTGCATTTTTGCAAACCTGGTGTAAATCCGGAAAGAGTCTTTGTCATAAGCATTTGACAAACCAGTGAGAAGGGGGGGGGTTGAAGGTCCCAGGGTACATTTCTTTGGCCAGGACAAAAAAAGCTTTGGATTGCCTTTAAAATACTCTATTAAAAATTTTGTTTGGGGTAGGGAAGTTATATTTTCCCCGGTTACTGTGATTCCTGTCCCCCCAGGTTACGGAAGGGGGGAAAAACCTGAAAAAATTTTTTTTCGATCAATAGATCTTAAACTGTCATTGATTTAGCTACAAATACTTCTCAGAGAGCTTCGTCGATTTTAATGCCAATACTGAATTTTTTTAATCCCAAATACCGTATGTCAATTTTTTTTTCCCTTTAAAAACCCCTATTCCCACTCAGGAGATTTTTTTTTAGTTCAATTTCTATCATCCTAGGTAGTGGGTTGGTAACAGCAACCCCCCAGGAGGACTCCCCGCCTGCCAAGAGTTGTAAAACAAAAGCCGTAATTGTTTTACAGATGGTAGGATTGCTGGTGTCCTTTTTTTGTCCATGAACAGCAAAATTTCGGTACATTTTCTATTTTAAATTACACTTAGTAACTACACATACATGTAAAAGGTATTTAAAATCCCCTTTGGGGGTTTTCTTCTATTTTCTTCTAGTTCTTGTTCTTGTTTATTTCCCTCTTATTTCCATGGGAAAGTGGAACAAATTCTTCCTCCGTCCCCATGCATGTTGAAAAGAGGAAACAAAATGCCGGGAGCAAGGGGCTAGTAACCCCTTCCCCTGTAAATACTAAATGTAAAAGGAAAACTTTCTTTTTTTCCTTTTGGGCCACCCCCCCTCGGTGGGATATGGCCGATGTTTGGGAAAGAAAGAAAGAAAAAAAAAAGAAAGATTTTATATATATATTATATATATTTTTATATATATATAAATAAAAAAATATATATATTTTAAAATTATATATATATAATTTTTATAAATTTTTTTTTTTTTTTTATTTCACACGGCCCGATTCCCACCAAGGCGGGGTGGCCCAAAAAAAAGAAAAACTTTCACCTCATTCACTCCTCACTGTCTTGCCAAAGGGTGTTTCACTACATTTTTAAAACTGCAACATTAAACCCCTCCTTCAAGGCAGGCACGTACTTCCCATCTCCAGGATCAAGCCCGGGCCTCCCGGTTTCCCTAAACCCCTTTCTAAATTTACTTTGCAAACCACTCCAACCAGTCAAGATTAAAAACCTTTTGTCCCTTCACTCCTATCAAACAGCTCACGCATGCCTGCGGGAAGTAAAAGCCCCCGCACAAAAAACCCTCCTTTACCCCCCCCTCCAACCTTCCTAGGCCCCCCCCCACCCTGCCTTTCCCTTCCCTACGACGATACACTCTTAAAGTCATTCTGTTTCGCTCCATTCTCTTACATTCCAACCACCTCAAAACCCCTTCCTCACCCTCTGGACAACATTTTTTGGTAACCCGCCCCTCCCCTAACCCCAAAACTACGAATTCTCTGCTTATATTACACCACACTTTGCCCTCAGACATGACATCTCCCTGCCCCCAGCCTTTCCTCGCTGAAAACATTCATCACCCAGCTTCACACCCATAAAGACGTTGGAAAACTATACTCTCATACTTTCCCCCTCTTTGCCCCCAAGGAAAAAGTTCTTTGTCTCCACAGACCCCTAAGGCACCACTCACTTTTTTCCCTAAAATTCTATGATTCCCTCATTTTTCATAGCCCACCGCTGACACTCCACTCCCAAATTTCTGAATACCTCTCCCCCCAATTGATATTCAATCTTTCTTCATCTAACTTTTTTCCTCAAAAACTTATCTTTCCTGTATTAACCTTAATTTTCTTCTTTTGCACCCCCTCCCAAATTTTATCCACCTTTTTGCACTTCTCTTCGAATCTCCCAAGAGCACGTGTCTCACAAAGAGCAGCTGTGAAACTCCCACTTTGTTGTGTTTCTTTATTTTTTAACTCCACGCCCTTGCCAAACCCTCGCATTTATTTCTCTTACAACCCCATCTAAAATATATTAAAAAACCACGGTGACTCAACATCCTTGTCAAAGGGCCTATTTTTTATGGGAAAAAATTTCCCTCTTTCCTACTACTCTAACTTGAGCCTCACATCCTCGTAAAAACTTTTCACTGTTTTCAGAAACCTACCCCTACACCAAACCTTGCAACATCTGCCACATGCCCCCCTTCCACCCTTCAAAAACCCCTTTTTCCAAAATCCATAAATCCCAACAAAGACCTCTTTCCCCTTACAAATAGTTCACTTTATGTTCACAAAAAACCCCTGGCCACACCCCCCCTCCTTTTCCTAAACCCTCCTTGTTATCTGCTATCCTATTCTCCGTCTTCTCTTAATTTTTTAAATTATAACTCACCATACATTTTACCAGGTACACTCAACAGACTTACCCCCTATAATTTTGCACTCCTTTTATCCCCTTTGCCTTTAAAAAAAAGGGAAACTATGCTGCCTCTCCAATCCCTAGACCTTTCCCCCTTCCATAATTTATTAAAAAATTCAACCCCAAACCCCTCCAAAAATAAAATTCCCACCTGCTTTTAAATTTTTTCTTTATCCCAAACAATCCCCGCTGCCTTACCCCCTTTATTTTTCCTAGCCCACGAACTTTCCCCACACTCACAAAATGGCTCTTCCTCCTTACAAGTGTTTTCCTCCTTGCCCTAAAAAACGAAATCACAGCTTCCCTATCTCACAACATTTAAAAATTTCCCCAAATATTCCCTCCATCTTCCCAAAACCCCCTAACTCTCCATTTAATAACTCTCCTCTCCATTTTTTAACTGACAAATCCATTTTTTCTCTAGCTTTCTTTAAATTGTTAAACTCATCCAAATTTTTCTTATTTTTAAAAATAATTTTTTGATAACATCTCACCCAATATAATATATATTATATATAAAAATTATATATATATATAATTATATATAATTAAAATTTTATAAATTATATAATACAGTGGCCCCCCATACCGAGGATCACATAGCATTAATCCGCATAAGCTTGCTTTTAACGCCAAAATTTTTTCCTCACATACCGCTTTTAAAAACCCCCTCACCATTTTCGTCCGAGACGCTCCCAAAGTGCGGCCTGAGCCCCCGCTCACATTTCCGCCGGGGCATGTTTACCAGCCACCTCCGCGGGGAACATCCAAGCATACAATCGGAATTTCGATTATTACAGTGTTTTTTGTGCCTTTTTTTTGGAAAATAAGGGGCCATGGGCCCCAAGAAAGCTTCTAGTGCCAACCCTAAAAGCAAAAAAGGTGAGAATTCAATAGAGAGAAGAAAAAGATCATTTTAATATGAAAGTGGAGTGCGTGTCTCCGAGCGGCCAGGTTTTATAATAAACCCCAAACAAACCTCGCACTATTAGTGGGGACAGCTGCTGTTCGCGCACTGTCGCTTCTGCTGCGCTTAGCATCGTCTGCTGCTGCTGTAACACGCTTTCGCTGTACCAAATCACTGCTGCGGGTGCTGTAGCATCGTTGCTGCGCTGTAAACCCTCGCTGTTGCTGCTTAGCATCGTCTGTTGCTGCTGTACCCCACCTCAGCTGCGTGCTGCGCTGCTGTAGCATCTCTGCTGCTGCTTTTTAACATCGTCTGTTTGCTGCTGGCATGTCGTTGCGCGTACCCCCGTCTGCGCTGCTGCTGTAGCATCGTCTGCTGCGCTGTAAATCGTCTGTTGCTCGTAGCATCGTCGTTGCTGCTGTACCACCGCAGCTGCTGCGCTGCGTGCATCGTTGCTTTCTGCGTAAAATCGTCGTTGCTGCTGTAGCTCGCTGCTGCGCTGTAGCATCGTCGTTCTGCGTACCACCCTCAGCTGCTGCTGCGCTGTAGCATCGCGCTGCTGTGTAAAATCGTCTGTTGCTGTGTAGCATCGTCTGCTGCTGTGTGCATCGTCTGTTGCTGCTGTACCAGTCGCCGTGCTGCTGCGTAGCAACGTCTGCTGCTGCTGTAACTTCGTTGCTGCGCGTAAAACGTCTGTTTCTGCTGTAGATCGTCTGTCTGCTGTAGCATCGCGTTGCTGCTGTAACCCCCCCTCAGCTCTGCGCTGCTGACATCGTCGCTGCGCTGTAACCGCTCTGTGCTTAACATCGTCTGTTGCTGCTGTAGCACGTCTGTTGCGCGTAGCTCGTCGTTCTGCTGTAGCCGTCTGTTGCTGCTGTACCCCCGACCCGCTGCTGCGCTGTGCCCAACCCTTTTTGGTTGGCTTATTGAGAAAACCAAGAAACAATTAACCCCAGAGGGTTTCCACCAGGATAACTCAAAAAAAGTCAGTGTCATCGAAGACTGTCTAACTTATTTCCATTGGGGTCCTTTAAACTTGTCTCCCAGGATGCAACCCCACAAGGCGACTAACCCCCAGGTGAAAAAGGGAAAAATGTGGGAAATATGCTCATATTGGGAATTTTAAAGCCACAAAGGTTTGGTTTGAGAGATTTAAGAATCGTAGGGGGATAACAGTGTGTAAGGCCCCGTTCTGGAAGAAAATGCCAAAAAGGATACAGTAACTCAGGGGGAAAAGGCACCCCAGGAACAGT